GAAGTGAAGTAATTCAAATATTCGCTATGGAAAAATTTATACGAATATTTATAAAGACAGTTAAATGATTTGGCGACATTGTCATATATCAATTCAAAACTGACTTCAAATTATAAAACGCTAGCCACTATTATAATTGGTATTATTTTAAATCTGCTTTTCAGCATGTCGAAAATTTATAATTAAATTTGTTCATTCTCTCTACACCTTTTTATTTACTGCGGGCAGTTTGCGCCTTTAGTGTTTTAGTACATCTCTTTTTGAAGTTGTCAGTGGTTTTGATTGTTTTGGGAAGTTGGTACCATTCACAGCGTTCTTTTCTATTTGTTGCATTAAAAAGGTTGTGCAGGGAGCGGTTTTGCAACATGGCGATTATGTAGTCATCCAAAGGCAATGGCAGTGGTCAAGGAGAATGCAGGTGTGACAACGGTAAAGGAACCATCGTTTTCTAAGGAAAGAGGTCGTTGGTGGTAACTTAACCTTTTATGGGAATGAGAATTGACTTTGTAGTGATTCATGAGGGGAGATGGGAGGAGATGATGGAACTCTGATTTCTGAAACAAGGGAGAGGGAGTTAACGGCAGAGGCAAGGGGTTGAAGCGGGTTGAACCCCGGTAAATGAAGTTCGAGCTGATACTGTAAGCTTCACAGTTTTATTTTTACCCTCTGCGGCGCACATTTCAAAATTCGGACCTTAAATATTTCTTAAATACATAAATACACTATTTCCGTGCTGAGTAACATACCTATCTTAATTAAATATATTTTAAATATATTTTATAGGATATTATTTTACGAAATGATGTAATTTTTCGCTGCTTTTTATTACAATGAAAATTTCAGAAATTTTGCTTATCTTACTGCTTTAGAGATTGAGAATGATAAGCGGTGCCAGTGCCACTAACAATAAATGCAGCCAAGAATTCCGACAACCATCAACTTACCATCTGTTGAAGGTTTGCCAGATTAATTTGAAGAGCGATTACGAACTTTACTGACGGACTTTTACAGATTGTTATAAGGGAGATGAGATGAGTCTCTCAATTAGTATATATTTCTTCTCTCATGAAGTCGTATTGTGAACTTTTTAATTTTTGTTAAGTTTTATTTTGGAAGAGCTTTCTGTGATACAATCGAATAGCAATGAAAGCTAATGGAGAGGTTTATTCTTCACGTTACAATACAATTAACAGAAAATATCGTCAACTGATTTGATCACTTGAATAACTCGGGAGTGTCCGTTGAGATAGTAATGGTTCAGAGGAGTACAGACGGAAGACCGAGTGAATTACGCTGAAGTGCGCTTCTTTCCAGTTGGGCGGTGCTCGATGAGCACCGTTTATAGTAAATGGACAATAGGACGACGGATGGTTAACAAAGAATTGTTTTAACATAAAGTCTATAGCAAAAGGGAGTTATTTAGGGGTAATCATTTACAGTTCTCTTTAAAAGAATAAATTGAGATATTAAACAAAACATATCAAATTAAATGACAAAGAAATTGTGGAAAACGTCTGACCTTTAATTTGTGATAAACATTGATACGACGACATTTTAACTATGCGAATAATTTGATTTTATAATATTATTTGAAGTTGCTGTCAAGTCGAAGTTTTATTTTGAAGTGAAACAGCGGACAATCATATTTTTATAATATGATTGACATCATATCAGTAGTAGAATTTGGAACACTTGAATTCCGAATAAGTACTTCTGGGTTGTGTTCCAACACCAGATTTGTCGAATTCACCAATTCTTGCGTACGGTTATTTGAAATGTTAGCAGAAGATGACTGGGTCATAATAGAGGATGAAAAAGTATGAGAAATTCTCATATCACACACCATACGACAATTTAAAAAAATGCTTTTGACTCAGAAGAAATGGGCTATAATGCAAATTGAGGGTTCAAACATCGACTTGGCAGCAATGGTAATGAATTTCTATTGGAATTGGTTGCTGCAGTCTCGGTGTCCCTTTTTATTGTTCCTTGTTGCCCAATTGCGTCATTACTTAATGAAACCTGCGACAAATTTGGCGGATCCATTACGACGGATGAAAACTGACGAGTGATTATGACGCCATCTGTTTGACACGAGCTTGGAATTTCCGAATAAGTACTTCTGAGTTGTGTTCCAACACCAGATTTGTTGAATTCACCAATTCTTGCGTACGGTTATTTGAAATGTTAGCAGAAGATGACTGGGTCATAATAGAGGATGAAAAAGTATGAGAAATTCTCATATCACA